TCCTCTCATCCCATGAGATCCACATGCCAAACCAGCCAGATTTAGCTAAAATCCAAGCTGTGATGGGTCGGGTCACTTTGTCCTTCCCGTTCCCGGTGGGTTCAGTCCCCCTTAGGATTTTGTGCAGAGTCCTGGGACACAACAACCCATCCCACCCCCATGACCTTCATCCCAGCCCTCAGCGTCCATCCCAACCCCGCTGTTCCTCATCCTCCTTGGCAGAGCTCCACAAAGTGCAGGGCAGGACTCAGGGAACAGCAGCCTGCAAGGATCAGTGAGGGRGAAACGCAGGAGAAAGGGATTTGGTGGGAAAATGCTGAGTGCTGCCGAGACAGGGAAGTGGAGAGAGACGTGGAGAGCCCAGAGAAGGGACGGGCTCGGGGGAGAGATAGATTTTGGAGAATTGCAAAGACACAAAGGTGATTTCTTTCCTTTCAGAGAAGGAGCAGAGAGCCCAAGCAGGGGCTGGGCAGGGGCCCAGCGAGGTTTTTCATCCAAATTCCCCCTCCCAAACCCACCAGGAAATCACCCAGGACATCCAAATTCCCCCTCCTAAACCCACCAGAAAATCACCCAGGAGCCCTCCCGGTGGTGCCGAACCCCGGGGAGGGTTCATTATTGTCACTCTCAYGGTTCCAGCTCAACAGCAACATAACCCCAGGCCAGGCCCTCGTGGTGGAGATCATCCTCACCTTCCAGCTGGCCGCCTGCATCTTCGCCTCCACGGACAACCGGCGCAGCGGCGTGGGCTCCCCGGCGCTGTCCATCGGCCTCTCGGTCACCGTGGGCCACCTGGTGGGGGTGAGTCTGGGGTGAGGGTCCTGACAGCTCTGAACCACCCAAAATCCCCTCGTGGAGCTGGTCCTGAGGGCGCTGCTGTGGCAGAGACAGCACGGGAGGTGCCGGGGTGTGGCGAGGGGACATGTCCGGCTCTCAGGGACAGAGGCACCGCCAGGGCCACTTCTGTCCCTGCTCCCAGAAGGTGGCTTTGATCTCCACCTTACCCCAGCGTTTTTCTTCCCACATCTCCAGATTTACTTCACGGGCTGCTCCATGAACCCGGCGCGCTCCTTCGGGCCCGCGGTGGTCACCAGGAGGTTCAGCCCTGCGCACTGGGTGAGCCTTGGTGGCGCTGGGGACAGGGACGGGTGGGAGGACGGGGCAGGGACTGACTGGGAATGACGGGTGAGGGTTTCAGAGCCCACCCCTGCAGGAAGAAGGGGAGCAGGGGAGGTTTTGCCCCCTGACGCATCGGGAACAGTTAATCCCCTGGTGCGGAGCCAGCGGGGGAGGGACAGGAATGAACCCATCCCTGGGTGTTTTGGGTGGGAACGACCTCAGAGCTCACCCAGTGCCACCCCAYGCCACGGGCAGGGACACCTCCCACCAGCCCTGTCCAGCCTGGCCYTGGGCACTTGCAGGGATGGACATCAGCCGTGGTGCCCTCTGAGCACCATTGAGGGGAAGGGAGAGCACAGACAAGCCCGGCTTGGTCTCTCCTCTCACCCAGCACCTCCTGCAAGCTCAGCCCA